CCCAGTGAACACAAAGCATCAATTGGTGTTCCTCCTATGGTAGGTGACAGAAACAATTTTGCTGCTATTTTCTGATACCATACTTGGCTCTGAAATGCCAGGCAGATACAAAACTGACAAAACCCTTTATTCCAATGTTGACATTAGTACTGCAAGTTGCACATAGCTTAGAAACAATGTTTGTCACTTTCTCCCCAGTTCCTTGTTTTATCAATTAATGTGGCAGAATGTCAGACCTTAAAAAGTCTTTCCTTAACAATAAGACATTTGGTTTTAACTTGATAAAAATACATGAAACTGAATTCCTTCTCAACTAGAAACATAAAATTAACTAAGCACTCCTTAAATCTTAGCTAAGATCCTAATCTCATTACATGCAATACTTAATGCAATTTCCAAAATAACTATATGAACCAAAAGCAATAATTACTCGCATTTTACAGATGACAGAGTCATAGGATAAAGAGGTTAAGTAAATTTCCTAAGATTGAGGATCTGCATTTTGAATGGGTAGGTGGATTCAAAGCCTGTTGTTACTGTGCCACATTGCTTTTTGATTCTGGGAAAACTGCTGTAACTTTATCACAAAAGAAATATCCCACTAATTTTAAGTGAGAATGACCACAACAATGGAATTAAGGCAGAGTGCTAAAGATATGTAAAAATAATCCAGTTTTTGTTGACCTGGAATAAGATTCTGAGTGACATTTTTACAAGCATAAGCACTATTTTAGTGCTATCTGTGCAGAAACGTGTGTGCATGCCCACATGTGCACATAAGCATGTGCTTGTGTATCATGAGAAAAACACAGAATTAGAAAGACAGAAGGGGGAAAAACTGATTTTAAAACATAATATTAAAAAAACCTCCTTGTATTAATTCTGGATTATAATAACTCGAATGGGTCACCAAGGTACCACAACAGAACTTCTAACTGCTATTCTGAGGGAGATTTATAAAGCTATATATCTCATCTCTGCCTTCTTTCCAACTTACTCAGTGTGGAAAATGACACCGGCCTTCCAAAGTCTGAACTTATGTTTGGACCCCTTCCATCCTTGAGTCTTACTCTAGTGTTGCTGACCATTAAAATGAATATTTCAGTGGGGCTGGAACAGCCCTATTAGCCCATGCCAAGCTTTATATGGCTTGCACGCTTTAAGAGGTCAATCTAGCCAACCAGTTCACTTTGTTCAAAAGTATTAAATAAATGGAATGACTGTAACATTCAAAGAAAGGCAAAGTTCACTAGGTAAGACCCCAATAATATAACGGAGCATAAAACTTCTAGAATTTTTTTACCATAATATTTTATGAAACATATGTACACACTCACTGGAAATAGAATCCAATTCAAATGGTTTTGAAGGTCAGTTCAAAGTCACCACATATGCAGTATCTTTGTGAGAAATATGTATTATTTCAAAAGCGTCTGGACCCAGAAGCTTCCTTTCTCTATTTTATAGTTTATTATCAGTCTAGAAGGGTACTACATTAGGGGAAAAAAGTCACCTAATACACTATAATATAATTTGCAGCCAAAACATAAAGTTCAGTAAAATATTATAAATTTCAGCATCAACAAATCCTTCTCTCGTGGAACAAAAAGAATCACAGAAGGTAATTCTAAAAGGAAGTGCTATTTTAAGTGTGGGTGATAAATATAAAAGTTGAAAACAATTACTTCATTCTCAACTTCACAACTAATTATGAAATCTTTCCTTGTTCACTGTGGTGAAAGGATCAAAAGACTCTCAATTTCTGTATTTACATGTGAATTACGAATGGGCCTGATTAGAGCCACCTATTTGTATTATTCTGATGTTTCCTAAATGCCCAAATTCTAAGAGCAGCTAGGATTCTCCTAAGGGGAAGGAAGTAAAGGTCTACTTTGCATGACAAAGGTCAGATTTCTGCAGACAAACGAAACTTCTGTGGGTGACTGTTCCTAGGTTATCACTGTCAGGCTGGGTCCTGGGAGGTCAAGAGAGGTTCCAAATTGTGCTCACTGCTTCAGGGATGCCCTTGGGGCCACTTTAATCATTTAAGATCATTAAAACTTTTCTTATTCTGGTTCCAGCTTTATCCCCTAAATCTCACTAACACATTCTGGCAATTCAGACCTGATGCAGGTTAAAAGGAAACTGAAGGTACTGCATTTAGTATTATACACAGATCGAAAAAGAGAACCCACTTATTTAACAACTTCTTTTAAATCCAAGATTGGGTTCAGTGAAATTCAAGTAGACCACAGAGGGTGATAATCAGGCCCCAGTAGAAAAACTTGACTCTATTATAGCTATCCTGGTATTTACACTATGTGATCGATGATGCCACGACTCTAGATCTCATTTAATATGATGTAGGTTTATGTGAAAATCATCTTAGTTTCCCCAATCATTACATATGTTTAATTATAATTACAGTAATAGTTTATTATTTACTTTTTTGGTAATAACTATTAAGCCATAAACATACAACAAATGCTGAAGTAAAAATTATTGCTTGACTATTTCAGTGCTCTTCCATTTAGTGAAAATATATGTCTAAACTTTCACACAATGGATTGATTATAGTTAGAAGAGTACTATTCTGCCTCTTTGTAATTAAGGAAGAGTATCTCTTAAGTATTTTAGATAATGTGTAGAAAACATCTGTATTTAATTATATCATACTTCTCTTAGATGATGGGAATTGAATAAAGAGATATTTTGAAACATCTATACAGATATAAAAGTATTAATGGCTATTCAAGAGTTTCATTGGTATAGTGCTTGAAAAAGTTTCATTTTACAAATCCTTGGCCTAATGCTTCATAAATGTCAGATTTTCAATATAAAAGGAGTCAACTTCAAATACCAGGCAAATACAGAAAATATAACACTAGCAAAGACAAAGGCTGTATCTTTTCACCATTATTACATATCACATAGACACAGTAAATGTCTTTCGTATTAGTACAGATTTGAATAAAATTTTGTAACATACACACTGAGCAGGATTTCTCTTTGAATTCTGTTGTGGACTGAGAATTCTTACAAGAATAAATTAACAGCTTGCTAGTCATTCCTCACAGAGGAAAAAAATCCTAAACTGTTCTCATGGAAACTGGGACACAAAGTGTGGGTTTTTAGTACTTGTTCTGAAGTATTGAAAAAGATCAGATTTTCTTTCTGGATGCTTTACTGGCTCCAAATGCCACTTCTTTTCAAAGTCAGTGTCAGTTCTGCAGTCAGTTTTCAGTCTCCCAGTGGTAAGAATATATTCAAAGGCTGTGTGCACAGCAGGGTAGAAGTCTTTCTCCATGAATGTAACTGTATCACTCATCAGTAACCTCCTGCCGTAAGGGGACTTATGTTTTCTTTCCTTTTAGTGACTCCTTGGGCTCTTGAATGCCAGTCACTGCCCTGAGACCTGGGGCAGTATTCACATAATCTCTGTCAATAGTTCCTACACATGTCACTGGTGCAACTAAATGTCAAGACAGCAGATCAAAGTCTGCACATTCTAAAACTCATGTCCTTTATGGATCAATTTTCATAAACTATACTCTATGTTTTAGAAATACGTGGAGGCTCAGTCTTTGCTTTCTTCCTTTTATCCCAGAGAAGTTTATTTACATGAAAGGCAATCTGATTTGTACATAATAGGGTGAAATTCTGATGTAATACATAAAACTCATTCTTCCCTTTGCATAGCCTTCTTGAGGTATTTTACTTCTTGAAGCATTTTACTCTACCTATTGTCTTATAGTAGAAATGCAAAACTCTGTGAGCTATTAAAATTAAAAGGCATGGGTTGCTTTCCAATACTTCACTGATCTACCCCAGTACCTGGTACATTAGATGGTAGGTAATAAATTCTTACTTATGATGGATTTATTTTTAAATCTTCATTACGCTATAGGTAAATTATGACAGAATATAGCTTTAGCGTGTGTTTTTACAATCTATATCCATTTTAATTATTCAAGGTTGCTTGGGAAAATGAATATAATTATTTGAAATCATTTCCACTCTCTAGGTTTCATATACAAATTACATACATCTACACTTCTTAAGAAGACCTGAGTAAAATACGATAGACAAAACTATTTTCTCTGAGTACCTTTTCAGGTTATTTCTGGATACAAAAATTTTTAAGTTTAGAACTTTCTCTAAGAAAACATAACGTTTAGAATAGAATGTACACAAATGCTATTTATGCTTATATCTAGCTAAAGTCTAAATATATTTATTACAGGGGTAAGAGCATGTAACAAATTAAATAAGCACATATCAGAGGGCTGAAAAAAGAGAAGACAAGAAAACAAATACAAGCCTTAGAGCCAGAGGCATTTTACTAAACTCCAAATAGAAGCTTCATTGTCCAAGTTCTCCTAAGCAAGTTTTTATATAATTACATGAGAGTATTAGGTACAAACCATCACTCCGAGTTCTCTTATAATCTGGGAGACGTTAGGCAAGTCACTTACTCAGAAGGTAGGTAGCCTTGGCCTTATATGTTTTCACCACTCAAACAATTAAAATTTACGGATTTTAAAATGTGTGATGAAAAGAAAGTTTATTATTCCCATTTTTGTAGTAAATGGTTGAGGGTCAAGAAAAATTTAGGTAAATGGAGGAAATTACAGAGGTCCTCATTGGTGGAGATTTAAATTTTCTAAGAAACCAAATTTCTACTTTCCCTAATTCTAATCTTTGTTGCTAATAAGACAATAATTTGTTTATAATCCAAACATGATGAACTTTTAAATTTGAAAAGGTACTTTGATTATATATACTGCATCAACTGATGTTGAAACTGGTGTGTGTGTGTGTGTGTGTGTGTGTGTGTGTGTGTGTGTATGCACACATGCACATATTTGTTTATGCTAAGGGCAGGGGTGGAGAGGGTGTGATAGTTATGATTCAAACCCTTTGACCCTTTCCTCTAGAGGCAAAATTAAATTACAGGTATGTCATGGAAGAGCAAGTGGAGTCTTGCTAAACCAACTTACCAGTTTTTCGAAGGGGGAAATCATCCTTTGCATCTTGTGCTCCTGGTAATGTGTATTTGTAAGATGGAGATGTTCCACTCAGGGGTGGAGAGCTTTGATCCAGTGACGTGTGGTGGGCAGCCCTACAAAAGAAAAAGAGGGCTCACCATTTGCTCTGGAGTTTTTACTGCATGTTGGCCAGCAATAATCAGTTGCACATGCTGTGCACGTGTCTCAGCTGTGTTTATGTTCTTTCTTTTTAGTGTGTACAAACCACAGCCTCATGTAACCAAGTTCACTTTGGCAGAGTGGTATAGCATGCTGCAGGATTCCCAAGAATGACCACGGCGTGTGTGATCACACACTTACACGGAAGTTTGCTTCACTAAAAGAGAATTTACCAAAAGCCTGAGTTTTGATAATCTGAGATTCCTGTGCACGTTTTGTTAACAGCCATACTAGTAACGAAGTCATCAGTCAAATCCTTTTTAGTCAACAAGGTAGAATAACCAAAGTAAAAGTAAATATATAGAAGGAACTCATTTTCGAAAACTGCTAGGTAATATATGAAAGTACATGAGGGTGATGTTTCTACTACAGAGATAGTACAGTGTCAACGGCCTCAGGTCTCCTGATTTCTGCAGCACTTACAAGGTAAAGATTGGCAATCGCATATTTCTTCAACATGAAAATGATTTTTAAAAATGTTTTCTCTTCCCTGCACAAATATAGTGAAAGAGTTGTACTGCACCACTGGAGAAGAGTTTCCAGGACTGAACATTGTGTATCCAGTGGATATAACACCCATGATTATCATATACAAAGAAACCAATGAACAGGGCAGGGTTCTGCCAGTATTATCTATTTGAATCACGTATTCTCAAGAATTAACTGGCTTAAGGGCACTTCATCTAGCCATAGTGAGCAAAAAGCATTAAATTCTGATTCCATAAATTAATGATTTACAGTGTCTGGAGTTGGGCCCTATTGAAGTTCAGTATAAAAAGGGACTGCTAACTGATATTTGACAGTCATATTTAATATACCCAAGGGACAGCTAAAGAATTTTCAGCTGACACGTTGTTTGTACATAGTTGTTTCCCATTTAAAAAAGGTATTATCTCTTCTTAAAATGAGCTGTAACTTAGAAGGAATATGAATTAGTTATAAATTATGTATGTAATTTTAAGTAATAAAATGGTATTTATTTCTAAATACTTTGGGCTGTTAACTGAACATCTGAAAATTTTCTTCAGGGACTGGCTTCTCAAGTCAACTGACATGCCTGATGGAAATTACGTAAACCATTAAAAAGTATTCATACAGTACTCTACTCTGCAATCTGCCTCAGTTACCTTTTTTTTTTTTTTTTTGAGAAAAGCAGATACTTATTAAATAGAATCAGAAGGATAATAACTTTTTCAATAGAACTCCTGGGATGCTTCCAGTTTCAATATAGGGTAATCAAGTATTTACTTCCTTATCCTCGATGATGTGAGGGATCACAAAAAATTCAAGTGTAAAATCTGATAGTCAATCAGCAAACACATAAAATGAGAGCAATGATATCTATTAGCCTGTTATCCAAATATGCTTTATCTATCACTGTTTGTCCTGATTTTTTTTTTTAAATTTTTTTTTCAACGTTTTTATTTATTTTTGGGACAGAGAGAGACAGAGCATGAACGGGGGAGGGGCAGAGAGAGAGAGAGAACACAGAATCAGAAACAAATGTCCGAGCCATCAGCCCAAACCCGTGGGGCTCCGAACTCACGGACCGCGAGATCGTGACCTGGCTGAAAAAGAAAACCGGTGCCGCTTAACCGACTGCGCCACCAGGCGCCCGTTTGTCCTGATTTTAAAAAGCACCACATCCTTCATATTTTACTGAAAGGAGAACTATGTATTTCATAGTGGCTTTTCCCTGGACTCAGGGAAACACGGATCCATAAATCTGTAATACCATAATGCATTATGTTGTCAGCTTGTGTATCAGAAGCCAGGGTACTCATTTTACAGTGCAGCAAAAAATGAAGTCAGATGGACAGGCGTAAACTAGTCACTGAAGACTTAGCTTTACTTAGTTGCCTTCGTTCTCATTCTTTCCCTTCCCTCCCTTGTCTTCCTGCCTTTTTTTTTTTTTTTTTTTTTTTTTTTTAAGTCGCAAAGCTTCTGGTCTTTTAAAAATAGCTCAGATCTCCACCTCCTATCGAGCCAAGTAAAATAAAGTCTCAACCTGCCAAATCCTCAGAAATTATTGTAAAGATATCAGATGCACCATCTGAGAATAGAAAAATGCAAACTAGGAACTAATTTCTATGCCCCACCCCACATTTCTGTTACTCATTCACCAAAAAACATATCTACTTCCTTGCCCTCAAGATGATACTTGCTAACATTCATGAAGCACTGCTCTCTGTGGCATAGTTTACCACATTATTTCACAGGACCTTTCCAGCAACCCGAGAAGGCAGGTATTATTATTATTATAGTCTTTTTACAGAGAAGGACAAGAATTCAAGGAGCTTGACCACAGCCACATAGCTGAGAACGGCAGACCTCGGTTTTGTGCCCAGGCTGGCTGAACACAGAACCTATGTTCTTGACCCATGGGAATGAAAAAGGCCAAACACTGAACATACGTGTACCAGAGCTTGGGATGGCGGCTCACGGAATGATTTTTTCCATTAGTTGGAGTGTCTTTTGTTGCTGATTTACTCAACAGGAATTCTTGAAGCTTCTGCTTTACTTCTGTACTTGCCACTGCTCCTGAAACATACACATACAGAAATAGATGTTGACTTGGGGCTTTGTCCTTCCATGTCTCTGGAGTATTTAGCAAAAATTAGGAAGTAACACCACTGGTCACTGCATGTGAAGTTTTCCTATTAAAAGAAGAAACCAGAGTCTAAAAACAGGCTTTTGGAAATGGCACAGTAATGTTTTGTAACTGCTGCTCAAAACGCCAATTTTCAAAGGAGCTTTGATGATTTCTTTAATTGCTTCTGCAGAAAGGGGAGTCCCAGAATTAACACTAATTTTTTCCTAAACTTAAAAAAATGAGGACTAAAACCCTGCCTTTTAAAAATCAAGACTCTTGGGGGACAATATAAATGACAACACAATACACTGACCTCTCCTGAACTGCTAGTTGGAAACACTAACATTTTAAAAACCTCTTTTGAGCATTAAACAAATAACTACTGCTGACTGTTCCAGTTCTAGTCATCTGATTTTAAACCTTGCTACATCCTGATTTTGAACTGACCTCAGATAGGGGAATTATTTGGATCTGTCTCCCTCTTGTGGATAGTTTTTTTAAACAAACGTTCTGCCTTAAATCTTCCCAAAGTCTGGGTACTCAAAAACTAAATGGAGGCAAGGCTTGACTTACAGAGAACAATTAATTATAACTTGAGCGGGAGGAAGGCATAGTGAGGAAATGTGAAAGTAAGTTTATTATAAAACAATATGGCATAGCTAGATCGCTTGACTAGAACCTTGTTTTTAAGCCTCAAAAACAACAGAAATAAGCATCTTTGCCAAACAATGCTCTGTTTACTTCCTCTGCAGACTGAAGGCAGAAAGATAATATGTGAATGTCAAAGCTTTACATTTGAGTCCGTAATTCATTCTTTTAATTAAATGCAAACAGTTTTGACAAGTTTAATGCCACTCTTTATCAGGCTTCTTTCTGAATGACAATCAGCTAAACATGAGGGAAGAGATTCGTTTTTTACCCTGGTGCCTCTTACTTTCTCGTCCTCTATCTTTGCCTCTGAGAGGAGGAAGCTGTTGTTCTCTGCGATGCCTCTCTACTTCCTGTTCTTGCCTCTGCTGCTCCAGTTTCTGCTCCTTTTCTAGGAGTTCTTGTTGCTGTTTTATGGCTAGAAGTTCCTGTTGCAACTTGCGAGAAGAGAAAGACATGAGAGTGTGCAGTTTCTTTAGGCGTTACAGTCATCACTGACCAAAATCAAACTGTTAGGAGCTTCTGGAGTTTGTTTCCGTTTAGTTTACATTTTTACTCACTTTTTCGGTAGATGACTGAAATCTAACGACAAACAACTAATGCCATAGATGGTCTTAATGTCATATAAGCAAGTTTTTAGGTAGCTTCAGTTCCTGGGCCGCCCCACCAAAACTCGTTACCAAATTCACTGTAATCTTTAGTTCTATGAGTAGCTTTCCTTTGTACAACTGAAACATATGAAAACAGGCAAAGACAGAAATGGCCCAGAAGTCTGTTTTACCACGTCTCTCACATTATAAATAAACAACGGAAATCTTCATTTCTTATCCTGAGAAATAGTATGAAAATAATCAAATCTAAGGAATGGTGAGAAATAAATTAATTTGGGAGAAGTCTACCTAAAACAGAATGGATGTTAAAAATTCCTAAACCTTACAGAGAAGGTTCTCAGATTAATGTAATCTATACATCCAAAATAGGCTTTGTTCTCAAAGCAGCAAACGTTCATTCATTCATCCAGCAGGCAAAAACATTCAGAATAGAGAGAGTGGTCAAAATGAAGTCACTTCCATTAAACTACTATCTGGTTGTCTGAATCCCTTGAATTCACTTCCAAACAAAGAAGAACATGAATATGAAGGCTTCTTAAAAACTGTATGGAGATGTCAGTTTTCTCTCAGGCAGAGAAAATGAATAACAGTAAATGTGCTCACTGACGAATACCTAAAGACGAGGAGTTCTACCCAGACTCTGATATTACCAGATAAGAAATCTAGACACCTTATTAAACTACTTAAAGCCCTGGGTCCTCATATGTCAGAAAAACAATCTCTTTCACACATCATGCTCACAATGCATATGGAATTTACTGGGTAAGTTTGAACGACACTAATTTTAATGATTATTACTATATTTAGATCTCAGTCCTAATGAAGTTAGCATAATTTGCTGTTTTAGGTATCTATCTAATATAAGTCTGAAATTTTTGTTGAAAAGTAAGAGAACAAAACCAAAAAGCTTTGTGGAATGGCATGAGAGTTACTCTGAAGCAAAAGGAAGCCAACTTTGTATGTAGACCATAATAGCGTCACCTCTCTCAGAAGGATATGGTTACAAGCATTTCTGGTTACTCTTCATATTAAAATCTTCGCCATTTTGGCTTTGAGATACCAGTCCCTTATTGGATGTTTCTACATACTCCATTTTAAAGGAAAAGTTTATAACTTCACTTAAACTATGCCTTGAATATTAATTCTTTTAAAAAATTTTTTAATGTTTATTTATTTTTGAGACAGAGTGTGAGCAGGGGAGGGATGGAGAGAGAAGGAGACACAGAATCCGAAGCAGGCTCCAAGCTATAAGCTGTCAGCAGAGAGCCCAATGCAGGGCTGGAACTCATGGACCACGAGATCATGACTTGAGCAGAAGTTGAACACCTGACCGACTTAGCCCCCCAGGCACTCCTAAATATTAACTCTTTACAGCTATTGGGAGTGGTCAAATTGATTCATTGCTTCAACCAAAGCTCCAGTGAAATTGAAATTTAATCTATTTTAGAAAACTAGAAAAATCACACAATTTAATCTCCATAGCTACTATTCATTATTGAAGACTGCAGGAATGATATTGAAAAAAAAGAGAAGGAAATAAAACATCAACCCCCAGTTTCAGATGTTCTGGAATGATACAGGACACAGAGAGGATGATGTGGTAGTTTTGATGGCAGACCAGGCAAGGCTAAAAATCCTGGAACAACCATTTACTGGCTGTGTGTCCTTCGGCAAGTTACAGTATTTCTGTCTCAGCTTATGTGGGTTGAAAAATGGGATAACAACATCTAACTCAAGAGATGTTGATGACAGAAGCCAAAGATTGATGCTAATAAAAGCCTCGTGTACTATGTGTTCCTCATAAACATAAAATCCAAATGAAAGTTAAAAGCGCCGATTCTTATCCTTTCCCATGAAAGAGTAAATTAAAATTTAAAAAGTTAAAGGCTAAAAAAAAAAAAAATAAAAAAATAAAAAAAAAAAATAAAATAAAAAGTTAAAGGCTTCCTAAACTCGAAAGGAAATTTAAATTAGGTCTTTAGTTTCTGAGAAAACGACTTACTACTTTAGAAAATCACTTTAAAAGGTAAATTTTCCTTTTGGCTATCTCAGAATCTTTTTCCTGTCAAGAGCCTCCTCTTTTCCTCTATTTTCCAGATGTCAGTATACTGACTATACTACTTTCAGCTAAAGTAACAATCAGTTACTTACTTGCTACTATTGACTTGTGAGCAAAATGAAAAAATACATTACTTCAAAAACTTTCCTATGGCTCTTTACAACTACAAAATGCATCAAATATAAGTGAAAAGAAGTATTTAAAGCAGCAACTTATTATTATTGCCCTGTATTCAGTGCAACGTGAGTCAGGTACCACAGTAAAATGAACTATACAGTTACCTTAAAAAGCATGGCGAAGGGCACCTGGCTGGCTCAGCTGGTAGAGAATGCGACTCTTGATCTCAGGGCTGTTGAGTTCAAGCCCCACATTTGGGGTAGAGATTATTTAATGAATAAAAGTTTAAAAAAATCCTTCACAAAAAGTATGGTGAAGAATATAAATCTTATTCATTCATCACTGTCATCCTAACATGGCAAGAATGAATGGAGAAGGAAATCTAAACACCAATGTTCCAAATATTTTTCAAGTCAAATAGTAATGCTTTAAAGTCATTCAAAAATAATCCTGTAAACTAAATTAAGGTTTCCTATTCTACTCAATACAGTTATGAGCTACTGTTTCCACATGAGACCCAAAACAAAATCCCCACTCTTAATTTAGGGTATCTTATAGATCGATAAATTGCAAGAGTTCTTTTAAAAATTTTTTTAATGTTTATTTCTGAGAGAGAGAGAGAGAGAGAGACAGAAAGGGGAGAGGAGTGAGAGGCAACACAGAGGTTCACTTGCTATTACACAGAGCCTGACGCAGGGCTTTAACCCACAAACCATGAGATCATGACAAATGCAGAAGTTGGACACGTAACTGACTGAGCCACCCAGGTGCCCCTAGAGTTCTTTTAGTAAAGTTCACTAGTAAAAGAAAAAAAATCATGACATTTTATACCAGATGTCAAAGGCTTTTTTGGAATATAAGATACAATAGGCTTTCCAGACTAAGGAAATATCTTAAAAAACAAAGAACACAAGGAAGAAGGTAGAACTTTTACCTTCTCAGATACTAATATTAATGTGGTAAAATTATATAACATCAACACAGATTAATTATCTATATTAATCTGACATAAATATGCTGTATCCAATATGCAAGTGAGTAATAGATCAAGCGTCTTGTACAATATTATAAATATGATAGAATGTGTAATTTATTGTATTAGTAAATTAACATGTGTTTAAATCATTTTGAAGGATGTACATAATTAATTATGACAGTAATATAAAGTAGCAAATATTTATAATAAAATTCCATTTTATTATTTATTCCATAAAAATGGAATTTTATTATAAATATTTGCTACTTTATATTACTGTCATAATAAATTAAAACTAAACATGTACTTAATCAGAACAAAATAGCCTTGTTTTAAATGTCTCTGTCAAGAATTTGAAACACTTCACAAATAAAGTTAAAGTAACATTTATCTCAAAGATACAAGAAGAAATAGATACATAGATACATGTAAAATGACAACAAAATAGTCCATCATAAAATATTCTGGGACATAGACATATTTCTCCAAGAATAATTTAAACAACTTGGGTCTCAAACTGTCAACTACATCCAAAATTCTTTTAATAAATTTTTATCTGTGGTCTATTGAACTTATATAAAAAATGTTGAAAATATTTGCCCAGGTTTCTTCAAATATAATTCTACTGAGCTTTTTCTGTCATTATTTTGAATGAATATTATAGGGTCTTCTTCGTAGGGAAAATACTCAGAACATCTACTTATAGGGGGGTGGTTGGGAGGATGGGGGAAAATAGCTGTTGGGGGTCAAGGAGTGCATGTGCTGTCATGAGCACTGGGTGATGTATGGAAGTGTTGAATCACTATATTGTACACCTAATACCAATATTACACTGTATGTTAACTACCTGGAATTTACATAAAAGCTTAAAAAAAAAAAAGAATATCCGCTTATAGACGAAAAAAACCCAAAATAACACAAGTCTCTCTCTTCACATAAAGTGACTAATTTATCCTTTCTGATAAACAGATTATGCAGATTCTTTAAAGGTATAAAATGAAGGGGCGCCTCAGTGGGTCAGTCGGTTGAGCATCCAACTCTTGATTTTGGCTCAGGTCATGATCCTAGGGTCATGGGATTGAGCTCCTCTGTGCTGAGCATGGAGCTTGCTTGAGATTCTCTCTCTTTCTCCCTTTGTCCTTCTCACCCACTCACTCATGTGCTCTTTCTCAAAAATAAATAAATAAATAAATAAATAAATAAATAAATAAATAAATACACACACACACACACACACACACACACACACACACACACACACACTGGATCTTCCCAGGGTCATTCATGATTCTTCTTTTCTTCTTGGCGGAGAATAGATAAGTGGGGCAAATGAACAAAATCACATACCAGAGAATAAACAGAAGGTAAGAATCACTATTTCCCACCATTGATGCTGTAAACTAATGGATGAGAGTAGTGGAGGCCCTTCCAAGAAGCAAAGCAGGTTTTTCATCAACACTCTTACTACTTACCCAAGGTTTTCACCAGTAAAATCACAATTTCCTCCAAGCCATACCTCCATGTCTTAAACATTCCTCCTCTCCCCACCCCAGTGCTCCTTCTTATGCTCATGTCATGCTGCAGGCTTCTGGAGTGAAAAGGTCAGAGGCAAAGAAACATTTGCTACCTTGATGTGCTCCTGAAGCTGAGCCTGGTGCTGCCGTGTCAAGTTCTCATGCTGTTTCTGAAACTCTGCAATCAGGAGTTGCTTCTGGATTTGCTGCTGTTGCTGGATAAGGAGTAATTCTTGCTGCAGTTGCTTTTCACGGACAACAGGATCCACCACAGGCATCATCATCCTGAGGTCTGTCCTCAGGTCTAAAGGTGAGATGGGCTCCAGGCCCACAGGAACCTCTGATTTCACATCCACTAGAGAAACAGGGGGAAAAAAGGGGCGGGGGTAGGGGGCATGACAGAGGATAAGAAATTAGCACAGTGACTTGGAAACAAACAAAAAATAAAAGAGATTATACCCTACAACAAACTTTAGGTCAACTACTGTAGTCATTTTTTACGACGATGATAAAAAGTCTTTTGTATATTAGTTTTGATAAAAAATGGACCCTATGCTCATTTTCAACCACCAATACCCCTTCATGAATCTTCTAAATTTCTCTTTTCAAGGAGATGAATCAAAACAAAACAAAACACCAAAAAGATGAATCTAATCATTTACTGGTTTATAAGTCATTCATAAAACCTATTCTACTTGATCAGTTATGCAAGTCAGGTAAACTTAGGACAAAAAAATGCAACTCTGTTGAGAAGATGCCAGGTTTTAACACAGAAGTATCACAACTCAATTTCTACACTTGCAAACATTTTGGTTTGTAATTAGAATCAGAAGATATATTCTAAGATACACTCCTTAAGAATTAAGGAATTCCTGGGGTGCCTGGTTGGCTCAGTCAGTTTAGCTTCCTACTCTTGATTTTGGCTCAGGTCATGATCTCACGTTCATGAAATCAAGCCCTGCTTCAGGCATGTGCTAGCCATAGAGCTTGCTTAAGATTCTCTCTCTCCCTGTCTCTCTGCCCCTTTCCCCTACTTGTGCTCTTTCTCTCCCAAATAAATAAATAAATAAACAAACAAACAAATAAAGGAATTCCTTAAGAATTAAAGCTTTTTAGCAAGGTATCTGTAGGGCTATGGGACCTACCAAAGAAAACGACAGATCTGCATGCTAAAATCTTGAAAATGATGAGTAGGTTAGCTAACCAACCACAACAATGGTCCCAGGTCCAAACATCAAGGAATGAAAGTAGCCAACTTTCTATGTACTGTTCTTAAAATGATAATATTTCAGTTACCTTATTCCTAAAATGAGCAAGGCAGAAAAATGGTGAGGAAGCCTAAAACAAATCAAACCACTAGAGGAAGATTTGATGAGAATAATTATAGGACATTTAAATTTTAAATATCTAAAATAAATTAGACAATGCATAACAATTTATATTATATATATATATATATATATATATATACACACACATATAATTCTACTCCTGTTAGATAACTTGTAGGATGGAAGGCATAAGCACAAAAGCTCATAGACAAGGAAGACAGGCAGTAACAACATGGAACTATTAAAAGGACTAAATGGAATAATCCACTCCAAGGACTTAAAACATATAGTACATTTCTCAGTAAATGCTCTGAGTTTTTTAAGTTGTATAAAAATTGAAATTTCCTGCATATGAAACTAGATGATACTGTGTGGCTCACAAAACAAAAATATTAAGAACGAGTATGCAAATAAAATTGCATGTGATTTCCATTTAGTACTAGAAAATAAAAACACTAAAACTTCTAGAAAAATGGAAAAAGGAAAAAGAAAATAAAGGAATATAAATAAGCAATTTTAAAAAATTTATCTTTACCAGTAAAGAAATATAAATTTTAAGTGAAAGTAAGCCATTGTTTTCTAAACATTAAATATCATCTATATGATTCATGCATTTACCTGTGTGTGTATATAATGGCCCATTGTATGGTGTAAGCATAATACCAAGTAGACAATTATGTATTGCAAGTGGCACTACCAAATAGCTTAAAACTTCTAAAAAATAATTTGGTGATATGTAGGAAGAGGTATTAAGTATTTTACCATTTGATTCAGGTTTGCCAACTGTAGGAAGATATCTTAAGGAAACAATAGTAACAGGAAAAAACAGTTCAATGTCATACTATTTATTGAAGTATTATTATTTTAATTAAAATCACCAACTACAAGGAAATGTCTAAGTGAAATATGTCACATCCATATGGTGGAAAAATACACAATCATTAAATCATGGGAACATGAAAAATGCTATTACAACATTAAGTGAAGAAACAGTAATAGAAGTGACACATACCCTATGATAGCTCTTTAAATAAATATCGTTTAAGTCAATATACATTTATTGAGAACCTTAAATTCTCAGGTTTGATGCTAGATGCTGGACTCAGCAGTAGAGCAAAAATGACAAAAAATCCAACCCTCCCAGAGCATTGGGTTCTTAACTGTATTAGTCTCTGAATTCGTGTACCAAAGACTGGTGAGGTACAGAAGATAGTTGTATCTGGGGTGGAAATAGGAATAATTTTCCCTTTCTTACTTTTCTGTATTTTTCCAAATTGCATTTAATGCTCTGACTACTACTGTAAGTAACTTACATCTGTAGATTCCAGGTTGGGAACTACAAAGTTTATATTCTTTGCGGATTTAAGAGCTATTTTCATTGAGTCAAGAAAAGCTAACAGAAATCTTGTTTGTAGAAGTTAAGGCTGCAAATACTGAATGAAACATTAATGCCCTTACTTGTCACTTGAATTGCACGTACAAGGCAGATGGGTGAGGTGGAAGGGGGGCTGGTATCAATCTTGGGTTGCTAACACTGGTCATTTTTCAGTGTATTGATCAGAAGCTTGTGTTGATGATGCTACATATGTCACTTTAATGAAAATGGTAAAACAGTTTATTAATGAACCATTGTTTGGTGGACAATGTCTTCTAAAATACTGATGTTTATGAAAGGAAAGATAGTAATTGTGACGAGTTGGGGACTAAATGAGGATAGTGGCCTCTAAAATCTCTTCGTTGCAGTACCTGCTATAGAACTTTCAATCAAGACTCTGGAGTAACATGAGACTTTGAACATTAATTTATAGAGTTGGCATAATTCCAACCAAAAGCAATGACTGTTAATGACGTATTTCATTTGTGCATTAAAAAGGCCAAACTACAGCCCCCAGTGTTTACATGGAAATCCCAATAAACAAAGGTCAGAATTTAACCCTATAAAGACAAAATGTAGAATTTCAAAAGACACTGGCCTCCCTCCTTGTTGGCATTCTTCTTATCCATAAATTGTGATCATCAAATCTCTAAAAAAAAAAAAAAAAAAAAAAAAAAACCCTTCCCACAAAAAAAGATAAGGGAAAAAAGTCCCAGAACTCTCCAAAACAGCTATTGTCAACCTCAAAGGGTAATTTGACTTCTTAACCTGCTATCCCAACAGAAATGATTGTGTCTAACTGCTTGCCTTTGTTCAGAGACTAATCACTAAATTGTGAAAAATCACCCTCAACTTAGAAAAACTGCTCTTGATTATAAATAATTGCCCAAGACTGAGAGAAAGCGGCAAGCAAGATCCCAGTCTTTCATCCAATTTATTCAGCAGCAATCCACATTCCATTTGTCTAGACTAAATATAGCAGCGTTTATACAAGAAATCAATAGTGCTTGCAGAGAGGAGAGCAAAGGCATGAATATTTCATCAAACTCAGAGAGAAATGGCAATCAGCGAACTGATGGTTCTGTGTAGGTCATCTTTGGCCTGCAGGATTAGTTCTGTTCCTTGGACAATAGCTCATTTCTGGCTAATCATAATCATATCATAAGCATTCTTTCTATTTTTAACATTAATTGTATTGTGGGTGACAAAGACTCATCGTATTCCAAAAGAAATGATGGATTTTTCTTACAGCTTCTGTGACAGGCTAATAAGCCTCTCCAGGAGCAATAATAGTAACACAATACCAGGGCTGAGTTTCAACAAGTTACAGTCACTTTCATATCACAGAATGTCAAAGAAAGGGCATTGTCCACAGCTGCTATATTATCATAATTAGAAATAACCAACTTACAAGAAAAAAATTAACAACCAATTTTAACAATGAGGAAATGGAATCATCTCTATTCATAACATTTCTTGCATAGGAGCATACAAATTCCTTACAAAGTACTTAGAACAGGTGCCAGTAGTACATAAGTTAGAAGGAAGTTGATGGAACAAAGTGTAGTTATTAGTAGCACTAGTTATAAACAAATGTTTTTTTTTAACAGACCTCAATTACTTTAGCTCAAGACTTCATGCTTTATTCGGACTCACTATGTTTGTCTGAGATTTCAAACACATGCCAACACAAATATATGTTATATTATATTTATATTATTAATTCTAATACCACATGCCCAGTCAGAACATTTCCACATATATATTAACTAGTCTTAATTACCACTTTACAAAGCCCTTGTCATTGTTTCTCCAGTGTCTTTCTTAATTGTTTCTTTGATAGTTATTTATTCTTCTTTTAGCATTAATCAACTCATGAACTTTTCTTTTAGAAACTGTTTTTAGTTTTTAATGAACATGGAAACAAAAAAGCTCCCATTTCAAAATTAAACTCTCAGATCATGTAGATGTATATAACAATCACATCTATTTAAGCAACATATATACCCTGTTTATACTTGTAACTAAATTTCTTTGACAAATATATTTTTTAAACTATTAAAGTACTAATTCAGAGTTCAGAGAATAATCTAGTAGCCATGGAGTGTTTCATTCTTCACCATAGATACTGTTGTTATTTACAGCACAGGTTAAGTAGAGAGAATTTTTGTATGTTCATAAACAGAAATCTTTGGTTTCTCTTTATCTTATAAACAAGAATCCATTCTTTTTAAGAATGTTTTAAGTGAACAACTTGCAAACCCCACAGATGGAAAAATTCTACGGACACACAATTTTGGCCATTTACAACAATCACAACTATGGCTGCAGCCTGTTGATGCTGTTCCTCTGGTAAGATCTCAAAGCAGTAGACTGCAAACTTCAGGTTTTTACAAAAAATGGCATCGGCACAGACTCACCACCAATTTGTATGTGTCAGTTTAGCTAAAAGTTAAAACTTGCAAAAATGTAATAAACATTAGGACCCTGTTTATTTCAGTTAATGTTCATATACAGCAACTGCAACTCAGAATACAACGTCACCAATGCAGACCTGTACAGCCAGTGTACGTGAAAATTAAGTTCTCTATAC